CTACCAAAAGCTCAAAACCTCAATACTCTCAAGATAAAGAAAAAGCTAATGGTTCAAGAATATGATATACTACTTGACATCCTCTACAAATGCATTGACACAAGAACCACAGCACTTGATGAGATCAATGCACTGAGAGCAAAGCCACTGGCCGCTATCATTTCAGGATCCCCATACAATTGGACCAGGTACGTTTACCAAGAACTCAGAAGATATGTCACAAAATCACACACAGGAAGAAAGGAGGATGGTACATTACCACTACTGGGCTACGGATTCCTCATCGGAGAGCTACTCAAAAAGAAGGGCATACTGGGGACAAGAAAAGAGGCAACTACTTGGAGGAAATTCCTATTCCAAACTTCCAAGGTAGGGGCTCCAGAAATTCCAAAGAATGATGATTCCTTCCTCTCGAACGACCTCCTCTTGGTATCCTTCAAAGTTGATACCAAGACCGCCAAAAGACTACGTTCTGGGTGTCAAGAATCACAGTCAAAAAGGCCAAGGACAGCAACCAGGAATCTACACAGAGAAATGGAAGAAGCAGCATCATCTAAGCATGCAGCAGAAGGCTCTCCTCTCACCATAATTCAAGAGGATGCAGAGTCCTCTTCCAACTCGTCCAATGCTAGCAACAGCTCTGCCATTCCGCTCTCCATTCTTCATCCAACAATACAACAGCAAGAAGACCAACCTGCTCAGATAGAAGAGCAGAGGACTCAACAGGAAGAGCAGGTGACTTCTCCACCTTCACCAACAGATCACTCTCCTACTCCTCTGCAACAATTAGAGGCTGAATGGGCAAGAGTCAAGGCTTGGAGGGAATGGAAACTCTCCAAAATTCTTCACCAAGCCAGGACCCTAACAAAGTTCATTAGTGAAGAGTACTTTGCTCTCACCTGGCTTGGAACTGAAGACATAGCCAAAGCCACAAATCTTCACCAGATGAATCTGGTCTATCTCACAAAGAAGAGGCAGCTAACTAATGAATCACCAGAAGAGCACTCCGAGGATAAGAATGATGATGGTAATTCTGATGATGATGATGACAATCACTCTGGTCCAAATAAACCTCCACAGAACAGAGGTAAGCAAATCATCTCCTCTTCCTCTTCTAGTGATAGAGAACTTCAAATGGCTTTGGAAAAATCTAAATTTGAGACTAGAGGAGGTGGAGAAACCTCCAAAGCAATGGAGGAAGTAGCTCATCAGCCCACTGCTGATCAAGAGCAGACGTCTAGTTCACACTCTCAAGAATCTACTCAAAACATAGAGCAGCACTCTCACACATTCATTCTTGAACCTGAGGACAATGAAGAGGACACTGCTACCCTGGCCGATGTCTTCATCAAAGAAAGAAGGGCTACCACACAGTTCATCAGCCGAGCAGAGGTCAGACTGCACAAGAGACTCATCAAAATGAAGAAGCAACTAGAAGAAAGGCTAGATATCAGATTTGGAGAAGTCCACAGCCACATCAGAAGAGATTCAATGATCCAACAAGTGTTCAATGCTGAGCAGAGAGCTCTACTCCAAACCAAAAACTCTCAGCACTCTGCCTTGACCAATGAAATAAAGCAGGAGATTGCTGCACTAAAAGCCAAGAATGAGGACCTCGAAAGACAAATGCTAGCACTTCAAAAGCAGCAACAAGCTCAGCCTACTGCAGCAGGTACCTCTGAGCAGCTGCCTTCTCTCCCAACCTTACCTCCTCATCTTCAGCAGACTTTCCAAATGGTGAAGGAGCATGAAGAATACCTCCTGAAACTAAGGAATGAGGAGTTCCCTGCCATGTTCAAGCTCTCTCAGAAATTCCTTATGGACCAGCAGGCTCATGCTAGAGCTTATGAACAGCTCACTAAAGACATCGCTCACAACTTTCAAGTTCTTCAAAAGGCTACTCAGGACACCTTTTGGAAGCAAGGGTCTGACTTTCAGAAACTAGGTCAGAGCCTAGTAGCTACACAGGACAAGCTTCAAAGATTAGAGAATGAGGTCAAAGATGAGGTCAAAACAGATCTTTTGGACGTCAATAATCATATCAAGGCCCTGTCCATCGAAGTATATGGTCTGGATCCATCAAGAAGGCAAATTGACGATCCTGACTCTGACCTAGAAATAGAAGCACTCTTCCAAGAGAGTGAGACCCCTGCTGATGATGCCAAAAAGGGGGAAAGGACAACTCAAGCAGGTCCCTCCTCCTCCAGATCAGCAGCAGCAAAGAAAGCAGCTGCAACAAGAAGGAAAAACAAACTCTACAAAGAAGAAGCTGAGATAAGAAGAAGAAAGGAAGAAGAAGCCAAAGCCAAGGAAGAAGCTGCTAAGAAGAAACAAGAATAGATCAGTTCTCAAGTCCGAAAGTGACTAAAAACTATTGTACTTTAGACTATAGACCAATGTACAATACTCTCAATACGAATCAATAAAAACAGTTGTTTCTTGTGTTGTATAGTTTTGGCATCATCAAAAAGGGGGAAATTGTTAGTCTCCAATTTTGATAGATTTTGATGATGCCACTATACTAAACAAATTTACATTGAGTCTTATTTTCAGAAGTAACATTTAAATTTAAATCATAAGTGACAAAAATAAATGTACAATCTTTAAGATTAATGATATATAACCGGATACATAAAAATGCAATAAGGTATCTTTTTACCTTCATAGGATATTTAAATCCTACCGGCATATATCATTTTACTTAAAGATTAAATATAGGTCACATTTGAGATGCTCGAATACACTAAATATTGATTGGAAAACAAAAATTAAATACACGGTCCTACAGCATGGAAGGACCTCTTGGAGTGAAGCTGCAGCGGCTGAAGACACACCCATACCGCAGCCCAATCATTCAAGACAGAAAACAAAAATATTCAAAGCTCCTGCATAAGAAGACAAATGTACAATTCGTCCTTGCCAGACCCTCAACGCACAAGATTAATCCATCTCAACCAACGGATGAGATTGATCAACCATGAAGGCCTATAAATATAGGTAGAAGCATGAGTTCAAAATAAGCTTGAGCATCCTAAGTAGAAGAATACCTTCATCAAAAACATATTCGAGCTATCTAGCAAAAGAGAAAGTGCAAAACTCAACTTTACTCTCTGCTTAGCCTCATGCTTCACTAAGCTCTTAGATTAGATCAACACTTTCATATTTTTAGAGCTTAGTTCATAGTTGGAGATTAGAACTTTCTTGTAATATTTCACAAGTGGTTGTAAACACTTAGGAGAACAGTTGTTCGAATCCTAAAGTGTAGTTAGATAGATAGAGTACCTTTTGATCCCCACTGGATCGATTGAGAAAAGTCTAAGGACTGAGTAACTTTGAGTGGTGTTATACTCATTGTGAAAAACCTTCAATCTAGGCCTAAGTGTTGTAAAGGCTAGATTGGCACTAAGTGTATTGGGCTGAATACTTTAGTGAAATCCATCTGAAAGAGGGTGGGACTGGATGTAGGAGGATTACACCACCTCTGAACCAGGATACATCGTGTGTTGATTCTCCTTTACTCACCACAGCACACACCCAATACTTCTCACTAAAGGGATCGTAGTTTGCCAGCAGCATCCTAAGCAGTCGTCTTAATTGACTCTACTGCTTATCCTACTGCTTAATAACTCACTTTTCCTTGAGACTTCTGTTTCCCACAAGCTTTACATATCACTACTAAAAGGTGTGATTGGTCAGTCCTCAAAGATACTTCTTTATAAGCAGCAGACGGCTTAGCAGTTTCCTGGGATTACCCAACTGCTCAGACCACTGCTCAGGCAAAACTCTTTACTACCTTCAGCTCAACATATATTCAGAAAGCCCTCATCATTCTCTGCAAGGCCATATTATCATCTTTCTCAAACTTCTATTTTCAACTGGCAGTTGCCTCAGCAGTTCCTTGCCATCTAGCTAACTGCCAAGCCAACTGCTCACAGTTTGAAGTCCAAACATCATTGAAGGTAGAAAGTTGTCACACACTCATTAGAAAAAGGGTAAAGACTTCCGCTGTGCATCTATTAATCTCTCAAAAGATTATAGATCAATTCATCTAGAGGTAAAACTTGAAAAAGGTGAAAAAGATTTAAAAGTCTATTCACCCCCCCCTCTAGACTTTTACCCTATCCAGGACCATCACGCCCGGTCCTAGATCATTAAATGTAATCTATGAGTTTTGAGGATACACGCCCGATCCTTGGGTACTCCACCCTATAACCGAGTTTTGAGGATAACCGCCCGATCCTTGGGTACTCCACCCTATATAACCGAGTTTTGAGGATAACCGCCCGATCCTTGGGTACTCCACCCTATATAACCGAGTTTTGAGGATAACCGCCCGATCCTTGGGTACTCCACCCTATAACCGAGTTTTGAGGATACACGCCCGATCCCTGGGTACTCCACCCGACCTATGACTTACCACATATCACACTAGATAGGGTCTATATCATAATATTACTAAAGACTAAACCAAGTCTTGGAATTAAATCAATAACTATCAACCTTGACATTTAATCATCATATTCCATGCAATTCCATGCACGATATACACACATAGGTTGTACGGGGTCAGCCCCTCCTTCGAACCGGACTTCGGTTCGCGTTTTCGGTGAAATTAAAATGTGGAGGCAGTAGCTTACCCGGCCCCGGGTAGGCCCTAAACCCGGCGCCGGGTATGTTCGGAGTTTTGGGTCAACGGCTCGTTGACCCCCGAGTTGACCCCCGAAACGTGATCCGTTTGACCCGAAATTTTTATACAACCTATATCATGTCTAAAACAACCAATAAATGCCATTTTGGTCATCCAAAACATCACAAATGTTTTTATACATTTTTCATATTCTTCACATGCATAATCATGAAGTTTTATTCACCTAAGCCTAGTTACCTAGGCTAATCACATGCTTAAACTCTTTTAAACATCATTATGAATACTTATAGCATTTATTTAGGTAATCTCATACTTAACCCAAGAGTTATAAGACATTAAGCCGTCCACTCACCTCGAATGAGCGTTGTGAAGTTCTACCCTTCCCGGTTGAACTCCGATGGAACTCCGGCGAACTTTGATGAACTCCGGTGACAACTCCGGCGACTCTTTCAACTTCGTGAAAGTTCTTAAATCACCCTTTACAAGTGCCTAACAAGGTTTTAACATCATAAAACCTTAATCAATACAAATAACCCTTAAAAGGTTATTTTCCGGTGAACCGGTCTCTATGGCTTCTAAGTCCGCTCTTGGACTTAAAACCACTCTTCAACCCATTGTTCTACACTTTGGGCATGTAGAAACATCCTAGGGGTTATTCACATGATATATATCTCATATGGTAGGAGAAAAATAAAGGAAAAGTTGTGATAAGGTTATTACCTTAATCCCCACACCTTTTCTTCCCCTTTTCCCTTCTTTAAACTCCCTCTTTGGATGCCTTGGACTTGAGCTCGAAATTAGCTGTGAAAGAATGGAGTTGCAGATCTCTTTTACTCCTCTTGGATGCCTTGGGTCGAATGAATGATGGAGGTGAGAGGCAACACCCTCTTTTTGGCTTATTACACAATGATAGCATGGCATGGACCCTTCCAATGTCCTTTTGATGCCATTCTCTTCAAGTCAACATTGCCTACACCCTCCCATCCCATTCATCCGTCCTCTCCCCTATCATAGCCCACACAAATTCGTGGGGTGGCCCCCACTTGTGTGGGAGGTCATCCCAATATGTCCAGAACTGTACAATCGGCCCCGAAAGTTGTATCTTTCGGACTGTTTTAAGTATATTTTATTTTATCGGGTCAAATAAAATATATTACATGCCCATAGAAATTATGGATCTTAAGAATGAATGTACATTCCCCAACTTTAATTTTAAAGTCTCCGAAATTCATTTCGGACTGTTATCTGAAGAAATTGTCGGTACTGGTAATTGGGCCCTGTTTGACAAACCGGTCAACCCAATGCCTTTCTTATGACCCATTATGAATTTCCACCTCCATGTAACTATTATCTAGACCAAGATGAATATAACATGTGGTCTCGTGTTATCGGGTTACCCCCGCTCCGAGTGTGGGCCCCGCGTGGAATTTACTCTTCACGCAAAAGAAATAACAAAAATTTACAAACTCGTAAATTCATTACTAGACACGCCATGTTCAATACATAATTTACATAAAGGTAAATATATTTGGGGACGGTGTTACAAGTTCACCCCCCCTTATTTGGGATTTCGTCCCCGAAATCAACGTGTCTAATCGAAAAGAAACGGGTATTGCTCCCTCATTGAGACCTCGGTCTCCCAGGTTTCTTCTTCGACTCGATCACTCCTCCAAAGCACCTTCACCATAGGAATCTCCTTGTTCCTAAGCTTCTTTACCTGATGGCCCACTATCTTTACCGGTTCTACTGCGTATTGCAAGTCCTCTTGGATCTCCACCGGTGGCTTCTCAAGAATATGCGACGGGTCCCGCACATACTTCTTGAGCATCGATACATGAAACACATCATGAATCTTCTCAAGTTCCGGTGTCAACTTGAGACGATACGCTACGACCCCAATCCTCTCCAGGATTTCAAACGGACCAATGTATCGGGGGTTAAGCTTACCCCTTGATACGAATCGGATGATACCTTTCCAAGGAGAAATTCTTAGAAAAACTTCATCCCCGACCTCAAACTCTAACGGCCTTCGCCGTTTGTCTGCATAGCTCTTCTGCCGATCTTGGGCAGCCTTAAGTCTGTCACGAATGATTTTTACCTTAGCCTTGGTGATCTCAACAAGTTCTATTCCCTCGAGCTTGGCCTCACCAACCTCGTCCCAACACAATGGTGTCCTACACTTCCTCCCGTACAGTGCCTCGTACGGAGGCATGCCAATACTCGCCTGATAACTGTTGTTATAGGCAAACTCCACTAAAGCCAGGTGTTTGTCCCAACTCCCTTGGAACTCCAAGGCACATGCCCTAAGCATGTCTTCCAAAATCTGTATCACCCGCTCAGATTGTCCATCTGTCTGTGGGTGAAAGGCTGTGCTAAACTTCAGTTTAGTACCCAATGATGCTTGAAACTTTGGCCAAAACCTGGATGTGAATCGTGGATCCCTATCCGAGACAATGGATATCGGGACTCCATGCAATCTCACAACCTCTTCCACGTATAACTTGGCCAACCTTTCAAGAGGGTAAGTAATGTTGATAGGTAAGAAGTGTGCGCTCTTGGTGAGCCTATCAACCACTACCCAAACTGCGTCGTAGTTGTTCACTGTCCGGGGTAGCCCTACCACGAAGTCCATGGTCACATGCTCCCACTTCCATTCTGGAATGGTAAGTGGTTGCAAAAGCCCCGCTGGGTGCTGATGCTCCGCCTTAACTTGTTGGCAAGTAAGGCATCGGCTCACGTATTCTGCGATGTCCCTCTTCATACCTGACCACCAATAACTTTCTTTCAAGTCCCGGTACATCTTAGTACCCCCTGGATGCATGGCATAGGCCGAAGAATGAGCCTCCTCTAGTATGGACCTTTGGAGCTCTTCATCCTTTGGTATGCAAACACGATCCTTAAATAACAACAGGCCATCATCACGTATACGAAAGTTCTCAACGGGTCCCTCAAGGATCCGTTCACGGATCTTCTGACATTCCTCATCAACGGCCTGACATCTACTGATCTCACTCAGCAACGTAGGCCTAACCTCGAATCTAGCAATGAGGGTCCCACACGCGGACACCTCTACGCGTGCCCTCAATGCCTGTAGACATGTGAGTAACGTCCCTGACGTACTCTTCCTGCTCAGTGCATCGGCCACTACATTGGCCTTTCCGGGATGGTACTCGATGATCAAGTCGTAGTCCTTGATCAACTCCATCCATCTCCTCTGTCTCATATTCAACTCTTTCTGAGTGAATACATATTTCAAGCTCTTATGATCGGTATAAATGTGACATGTCTCCCCGTAGAGATAATGCCTCCAAATTTTCAGTGCAAACACCACCGCCCCCAACTCTAGATCGTGAGTAGGGTAGTTCACTTCATGTTTCCTCAATTGCCTTGAAGCGTAGGCAATCACCTTACCCCTTTGCATCAACACACACCCAAGTCCTTGGATGCTAGCATCGCTATAGATATCGTACCCTATCCCCTGCTTGGGTAGAGTAAGAACTGGTGCCTCGGTGAGTCGTTTCTTCAGTTCAAGAAACCCTTTCTCACATTTGTCATCCCATATAAACTTAGCCCCCTTCTTTGTGAGCTTCGTCAATGGAGATGCCAACACGGAAAATTTCTCTACGAACTTACGATAGTATCCCGCTAGGCCAAGGAAACTACGTATTTCTTTCACATTTTTGGGTCTCTCCCAATCAATGATGGCTTTTATCTTGGCGTTATCCACAGCAACGCCCGAACCGGATATGACATGCCCGAGAAAGCCAATCTCTTTAAGCCAAAATTCACATTTGGAGAACTTGGCAAAGAGTTGTTTTTCTCTAAGTCGTTCAAGTACAAGTCTCAAGTGGTATCCATGCTCCTCCTCGTTCTGGGAGTATATCAAGATGTCATCAATGAATACTATCACGAATTGATCTAAGTATTCACTAAACACTCGGTTCATCAAGTCCATGAATGCTGCTGGTGCATTGGTTAACCCAAATGACATCACAAGGAACTCATAGTGACCATATCTAGTGCGGAATGCACTCTTGGGTATGTCACTCTCCTTGATCTTCAACTGATGATAACCCGACCTCAAATCAATCTTTGAGAACACCATAGCCCCCCGAAGTTGATCGAACAAGTCATCAATCCTCGGTAAAGGATACCTATTCTTGATTGTGACCTTGTTCAACTGTCGGTAGTCTATGCACATTCTCAATGTACCATCCTTCTTCTTCACGAAGAGTACCGGTGCTCCCCACGGTGAATGACTAGGTCTAATGAAGCCGTTGTCCAATAGCTCTTGCAATTGGACCTTCAATTCTTGAAGCTCTGCCGGTGCCATTCGATAAGGAGGAATCGAAATTGGTTTTGTTCCCGGCTCTACTTCGATCACAAACTCGATCTCTCTATCGGGTGGAAGTCCCGGCAAGTCTTTGGGAAAGACATCCGGATACTTGCACACGACACATACATCATTGATGTCAGCCTCCTTCTTTGTTTCGTCCACCACGTAAGCAAGGTATGCGTGGCATCCCTTCTTCATCATCTTCTGTGCCCTCATCACGGATATGATACAGCTATGAGATCCTCCCCGATCTCCCTCGAAACGTAGAGCGTTTCCATCAGCATCTTCGAGCTCTAACACCTTGGCGTAGCAATCTACCCGAGCATGATACTTCTCGAGCCAATCCATCCCCAGGATTGCATCGAATTCCAACATACTTAGAGGTACAAAGTCACAAGTCAAGGGTTGACCCGTTACTTCTACCTCACACGATGGATAATAGTGTTTCCTCTCCACATCGTCTCCCAACGGTGTAGAGACCAACAAGGGTTGGGTCATTGCTATCAACGGTACGCCTAAACTTTCGGCAAACGCTTCACTCACGAATGAACGTTGTGCCCCGGTATCAATGAGAATTCTTGCGTTTCTACCATTGATCTTTAAGGTTCCTACATATATAAGTCATGTAAGACACACTACACACGTACCGGGTCGAAAATAGGGCTAAACGAAAATTTTTCGGACGAAAATACACTGGACCGGCGCCGGGTATAGGCCTGGCCGGCGCCGGGTAAGCTACTGGAATCGAAAAGTGGCAAAAATGAACTGGGCCGGCGCCGGGTATGGCCCAGACCGGCGCCGGTTCACCCCTGGAGCGAAATATCAGAAAATTTTCCCCGGACCGGCGCCGGGTTGCCCCCCCCTGGCCGGCGCCGGGTAAGCTACTGGATAGCACCCTCCGGGAAATTTTTCCGGGCCGGCGCCGGGTTGCCCCCCTGGCCGGCGCCGGGTAAGCTACTGGATAGCACGCGGTTCATCATTTTACACCAGACCGGCGCCGGGTCAAGCCCAGACCGGCGCCGGTTCATCCCTGGGCAGTCCAACTTCGTTTTTCGCCCGAAAACGAGCCGGAAATGCCGTCGGTTAACTCGTAATTGCTCCCTAAAGCTTAAAACACACATGTATATGAACATTACAAGTATGAACAAGGAATTACCTGCAACGGAGTCGGGGTTAGCCCGGGCATCGGCCTCGGTCATCGCGTAGACCCTCGCTTGGGCCCCGCCTTGGTTAACGGACGCGGCATTGCTTGTTGACGCGCCGCCTCTTCCCGTGCCACCGTGCGACGGTCCCGCACGGTTCCTTCCCGTCATGGCCCCTCCCCCGGCTCCCGATGCGCTCTCTTGCATCAATTGAGGGCAATTGGCCTTCATATGGCCCGCATTCCCGCATTTAAAACATCTCGGTGGTTCATTGCACTTCCCAAAGTGCTGTTTTGAGCAATTGGGACATCTAGGTGCCCCCGGGTTTTGTGGCCTAGGTCCGTGCCACCTCGCGTCCCTATTCTTCTTTGCCGGTGGAGCCGGTGCCTTGAATGAGCCACCACCACCACCACCGTGGTTGTTCCTTCGGGAATGATCGGGCGGCCCCGAACTATTCCACTTCCTCTTCTTTGCCTCTTCGGCATCTCTTGCTTTCCTTTCATTCCACTGGGCCTCCCCCAGCATGCCTTGTTCTACCACCTCACTAAAAGTCATGAGGCGTGAGTACGTAGCACGATCTCGGATGTCTAAGAGTAAAGCATCCCAGAAGTGCTCAGTCATGCGGTCCTCATCAATCGCATACTCCGGTAAGAACCTAGCCAAGGTTCTAAACTCTTGCTCTAGTTGTTTAACGGTGCAACCCTCCTTGGGCTTGAGGTTGGTATACTCCCTCCTTTTCACATTAACCTCGAAATCGGAGTAGTATTGGGCATAAAATTCCCGCTCAAAATTCTCCCATGAGATGTCCCCGCGGTATTTCCCTTCCACACCTTCCCACCATGTAGAAGCCATCCCCTCAAGCAACCGTGAAGCGATGGTTAGCTTCACGTCCGGTGAAATTTGCATGTCTCTCGATGCATCCTTCACCTTCTTGATCCAATCGGCGGCAACGGTAATGTCGCCGGTGCCGTCAAAGGACCTACACCCCAAGGCCCTAGCCTCCTTGAGGTATTTGGAGATTCTCACCACAAAACCTCCTTCATGCCCACCTTGTGGCACCACCGGTGTGGCCCTTGAAGCTCCCCGGCTTCCTTGGGCCGAAACACCTTGAGAAGCACGCCTCGCTTGGCGTCTCATGTCTCTCCTCTGTTTCTCCTTTTGATACCACGCTAGAAGTTCCCCCATTTGGGCAAACCGGGCATCACTCTCATCATCATTTTCATCATCGGTGTGGAAATCGCCCCCATCATATGGGGTCTCCTCATGCTCCGTTTCGGGAACATAAGTAGAGTCGTAGTCCTCGGTGTTAGTCTCGTACACCGAACTCACGTGGCCATCACTCACTGTTTGGGCTCGGTGGCCCCCACGACCTCCACGGCCTCCACGACCTCCTCTTCCACCTCTAGAGCTTCGAGATGCAGCCCGGCTAGCTTCAACAGAAGCTATCGGTGCTTGCCCTCCCGGATTGTTTCTGGTCTGCATGCGTCTACCCTCCATTTCTGAAAAGGAATTTGGACGAGTCGTTAGACTCCAATCAATGTCAATTGACGGAAAACGTTATAGACACGTATTGGCCCGAGTCACCGCCATACCAATTGTTAAGGGTACCATCTTAACAACCAGAGACCTTGCAACTTAGGTAACAATAGTTCTATAAGCGTCAAAATACAATGCTCATGGTTTTTGGTAAAATTCTTTTGTAAAATCTCTTGTGAGAGGTTGATCACATAGTTTAGAAACTGAGATGGCTCTGATACCACTTAATTGTCACGCCCCAGACCGCATCTGAGCGCGTGTACAACCGCCGTATGACTAAATGACGTCACCCGCGAGTCAACGTGACTTAGTCAAACAAGGCGTCCATGAACATAGTCCATACCATACTCAGTAAGTAAACATACATAACAACATCACACAATAGGATTGAACGAATAGCGGAAATATTCAATATTCAATCATGGGCCACACATGGCCAAAACGTAGGCACGCAGGCCCAAAACAAATGTATTTATTACAAAAATATCCATGAGCAAGTTTGTAGTTTAAAACATTAAAGGAAGCACGAACCACGTCTCCCTTTGGATCACTTCACCGAGCAAGGTGAGAATAGCAACTTGAGCTTCAACCTGAAATGGTGGGGCCCCCCGAAGGGGTCAGTACAAGTACCGAGCGAGTAGCAGGCTAAATGTAGAATAACTAACGTTTCAAGTATAAGACCCAAACATAGGGTGATACATATACGTATAGTCCTTCCCCCAAGTTTTGAGATACATATTAGTATATATACACTTGGAAATACCCGACCCGTAGGTCATTGTTTATTTGGGAAAATAATAGAAGCCAATGTCCTTGACTTAAATCCCAACCCACCCATATACCTATGAGTGTATAGAACTCCTCCTTGTTCAAGTAAATTATCATAAGGACACCGCCCGGTCCTAGATCATTAAATGTAATCTATGAGTTTTGAGGATACACGCCCGATCCTTGGGTACTCCACCCTATAACCGAGTTTTGAGGATAACCGCCCGATCCTTGGGTACTCCACCCTATATAACCGAGTTTTGAGGATAACCGCCCGATCCTTGGGTACTCCACCCTATATAACCGAGTTTTGAGGATAACCGCCCGATCCTTGGGTACTCCACCCTATAACCGAGTTTTGAGGATACACGCCCGATCCCTGGGTACTCCACCCGACCTATGACTTACCACATATCACACTAGATAGGGTCTATATCATAATATTACTAAAGACTAAACCAAGTCTTGGAATTAAATCAATAACTATCAACCTTGACATTTAATCATCATATTCCATGCAATTCCATGCACGATATACACACATAGGTTGTACGGGGTCAGCCCCTCCTTCGAACCGGACTTCGGTTCGCGTTTTCGGTGAAATTAAAATGTGGAGGCAGTAGCTTACCCGGCCCCGGGTAGGCCCTAAACCCGGCGCCGGGTATGTTCGGAGTTTTGGGTCAACGGCTCGTTGACCCCCGAGTTGACCCCCGAAACGTGATCCGTTTGACCCGAAATTTTTATACAACCTATATCATGTCTAAAACAACCAATAAATGCCATTTTGGTCATCCAAAACATCACAAATGTTTTTATACATTTTTCATATTCTTCACATGCATAATCATGAAGTTTTATTCACCTAAGCCTAGTTACCTAGGCTAATCACATGCTTAAACTCTTTTAAACATCATTATGAATACTTATAGCATTTATTTAGGTAATCTCATACTTAACCCAAGAGTTATAAGACATTAAGCCGTCCACTCACCTCGAATGAGCGTTGTGAAGTTCTACCCTTCCCGGTTGAACTCCGATGGAACTCCGGCGAACTTTGATGAACTCCGGTGACAACTCCGGCGACTCTTTCAACTTCGTGAAAGTTCTTAAATCACCCTTTACAAGTGCCTAACAAGGTTTTAACATCATAAAACCTTAATCAATACAAATAACCCTTAAAAGGTTATTTTCCGGTGAACCGGTCTCTATGGCTTCTAAGTCCGCTCTTGGACTTAAAACCACTCTTCAACCCATTGTTCTACACTTTGGGCATGTAGAACCATCCTAGGGGTTATTCACATGATATATATCTCATATGGTAGGAGAAAAATAAAGGAAAAGTTGTGATAAGGTTATTACCTTAATCCCCACACCTTTTCTTCCCTTTTTCCCTTCTTTAAACTCCCTCTTTGGATGCCTTGGACTTGAGCTCGAAATTAGCTGTGAAAGAATGGAGTTGCAGATCTCTTTTACTCCTCTTGGATGCCTTGGGTCGAATGAATGATGGAGGTGAGAGGCAACACCCTCTTTTTGGCTTATTACACAATGATAGCATGGCATGGACCCTCCAATGTCCTTTTGATGCCATTCTCTTCAAGTCAACATTGCCTACACCCTCCCATCCCATTCATCCGTCCTCTCCCCTATCATAGCCCACACAAATTCGTGGGGTGGCCCCCACTTGTGTGGGAGGTCATCCCAATATGTCCAGAACTGTACAATCGGCCCCGAAAGTTGTATCTTTCGGACTGTTTTAAGTATATTTTATTTTATCGGGTCAAATAAAATATATTACATGCCCATAGAAATTATGGATCTTAAGAATGAATGTACATTCCCCAACTTTAATTTTAAAGTCTCCGAAATTCATTTCGGACTGTTATCTGAAGAAATTGTCGGTACTGGTAATTGGGCCCTGTTTGACAAACCGGTCAACCCAATGCCTTTCTTATGACCCATTATGAATTTCCACCTCCATGTAACTATTATCTAGACCAAGATGAATATAACATGTGGTCTCGTGTTATCGGGTTACCCCCGCTCCGAGTGTGGGCCCCGCGTGGAATTTACTCTTCACGCAAAAGAAATAACAAAAATTTACAAACTCGTAAATTCATTACTAGACACGCCATGTTCAATACATAATTTACATAAAGGTAAATATATTTGGGGACGGTGTTACAGGTAAAATAGTAACTTCCGGTTTATTGAATAGTCTCGCCCGAAATTTAGGAAATTTTGCTAAGTCCACAGCCACTCTGATGAATAACAGTCCATGTATCAGAGATAGAGATGTTTTGATACGAGGACCTCTGATGAATACCAAGTCTGATCCTTCCTACAACCCTGACTTTTGCGAGTCTGAACCTCGCAATTCTGATTCAAGCTTCTGATGGATAAGAGCTCGGGTACCAGAGATGGGGTGTTCTGATGAATCCACATCTGGTACTTCTGCAACTCTGATTCATGTATCTCTGGGAAGATCATCCATCATTCCCAATTCTTCTCTTAGCTTGTTAAACCTTGCCTCAGAGAGAGGTTTGGTTAGAATATCTGCTAGCTGGTCTTCAGTTGGAACATGCTCAATCGAGATGTTCTTCTTCTCCACATGATCTCTGATGAAGTGATGTCTGATCTCAATATGCTTGGTCCTTGAATGCAGCACAGGATTCTGAGTGATGGCAATGGCACTCGTGTTATCACACAACAGCTTGATCTCCTTTGCTTGCACTCCATAATCCTTGAGTTGTTGCTTCATCCAGAGTAATTGAGCACAGCAGCTTCCAGCAGCAATATACTCAGCTTCAGCAGTGCTAGTTGAGATTGAATTCTGCTTCTTGCTAAACCAGGAGACAAGTCTCCCACCTAGCAGTTGGCAATGACCGGAAGTGCTCTTCCTGTCCAATCTACAACCTGCAAAATCTGAATCAGAATAACCAATTAGTTCAAAATTACCTCCCTTGGGATACCATACTCCTGCGTTTGGATTTCCTTTGATGTATCTGATAATCTTCTTAGCAGCAACTAGATGGCTCTCCTTGGGCTTTGATTGGTATCTGGCACAGATTCCTACTGCAAAAGCTATGTCTGGTCTGCTTGCAGTCAGATAGAGGAGAGATCCAATGATTCCTCTATAAGTTGTTGCATCAACATCCTTCCCTTCATCATCTGGTCCAATTCCTTGAGATGCATTCATAGGAATTTTGACTGAGGCTTTTCCATCAATTCCAAACTTTTTGATGAGATCTCTGGTGTACTTCCCTTGGTTGATAAAGATGCCTTCTGAAACTTGTTTGACTTGCAACCCAAGGAAATAACTGAGTTCTCCCATCATGCTCATTTCAAACTTCTTCTGCATAACTTGAGAGAATTTCTTGCATAATTCTGGATTAGTGCTTCCAAATATAATATCATCAACATAGATTTGCACTAATAGAATATGATTAGCAACAGTAATCTGAAATAGAGTTTTGTCCACCTTTCCTTTAGTAAACCCATGGTTTACTAAGAATAGGGACAATGTGTCATACCAAGCTCTGGGAGCTTGCTTAAGACCATAAAGGGCCTTTCTGAGCTTGTAGACACAAGAAGGTTGAGTAGGAATGACAAAACCTGGAGGTTGTTCAACATAAACTTCCTCTTCAAGTTCTCCATTCAGAAATGCACTCTTGACATCCATCTGGTATACTTTGATGTCATTGTAAGCAGCATAGGCTAGGAATATTCTGATTGCTTCCAATCTTGCAACAGGTGCAAAGGTCTCATCAAAATCTATGCCTTCTTCTTGACAATATCCCTTTGCTACAAGCCTTGCTTTATTCCTTACAATGTTGCCTTCTTCATCTACTTTGTTCTTGAATACCCACTTGGTTCCAATGACATTCTGATGCTTTGGTCGAGGAACAAGTTTCCATACTTCATTCCTTTCAAACTGTGTCAGTTCTTCTTGCATTGCATTGATCCAATCTGAATCTTCTAGAGCTTCTTCCACGCACATTGGTTCCATCTGGGATATACAGCAGGAGAACATGGCTTCTCTTCTTGATGCAGATCTGGTCCTTACTCCACTGGTAACTTGACCAATCACTTGATTAGGAGGATGGTCTCTTAACCAAGTTAGATCAGGTTCTGATAGTTGCTGTCTAGGCAACTCTGATGGTTCATGTTCTGATACATCATCTTCTTCTTCATCTTCATCTTTGTCTATCAGAACTGGATTAGTAATAGGAGTTGAGAGTACTGGATTGATAGTGACCTCTTCTGATAGGTCTGAAACCTTATCTTCAAGACTGATCTTCTGCAGGGTCTCTGATAATTCTTCTGCAGAGGTACCATCATCAAATTTGACATGAATGGATTCTTCAACTTGTATAGTTCTCCTGTTAAGTATTCTATAGGCTTTGCTTGAACTTGAGTAGCCTAAGAATACACCTTCATCAGCTTTTTCTTGAAATACTTTCAGGTTCTCCTTTCCAGTGTTTAGAATGTAGCACTTGCATCCAAACACATGGAAGTAGCTGATGTTTGGCTTTCTTCCTTTCCACAGCTCGTAGGGGGTCTTCTGATGATTCTTGTGGATCATGCTCCTGTTTTGGGTGTAGCATGCAGTGTTGATTGCCTCAGCCCAGTATCTGATGGGCAAACCTGATTCAGCAATCATGGTCCTTGCAGCTTCCTTTAAAGTTCTGTTCCTTCTTTCTGCAACACCATTTTGTTGGGGTGTTCTGGCAGCAGAGAGTTGATGAAATGTGCCATTCTGATCACAGAAGTCCTTGATCACCTTGTTGACAAATTCAGTTCCTCTGTCAGACCTGATTGTCCTGACCTTAATGTTCTTCTCAGTCTGAAGTTGCTTTAACAGAGATGGCAACTTCTGAAGAGTTTCATTCTTCTTAGTTAGGAACACAGTCCATGTGTATCTTGAGTAGTCATCAACCATGACAAGAGTATATCTTTTTCCACCAACACTGGGAGTTTCAACTGGTCCAAATAAATCCATGTGGATCAGATTTAGAGGGCAAGTAGAAAGATCTCCAGCTATGGGTTTGAATGAGGTCTTCACTTGCTTGCCTTTCTGACAAGCACTGCAGAGGGTCTCCTTCTTGTAGACAATGTCAGGCAGACCATCTACAATGTGTTCCCTTGCCAGTTTGTTGATGGTTTTGAAATTCAGGTGGCTAACTGGCTAAGCTTCTTGTGCCAGTCCCAGCTTAGCTTTGAATTGTCTTTAGCTATCAAGCAGGTTCCATCTTTTGCTGTTTGCCAGTTAACAACATAGATGTTCTTTCTTCTCTGTGCTGTAAGAACCACTTCTTTGGTTGTCTCATGCTTGACATAGCATAAGGTCTTGGTGAATTCAACTGTGTAGCCTTTGTCACAGAATTGGCTAGCACTCAGCAAGTTGAACTTCAGACCTTTGACATATGAGACATCTTCAATGACTATCTGGTTCTTGATCAGCTTCCCTCTTCCCTTTGTTTGACCATCCTTGTCATTTCCTCCAAAAGTGACTCGAGGTCCATTGATTTTCTGGAATTCTGATAGGCAACTCTTGTCACCTGTCATGTGTCTGGAGCATCCACTGTCAATATACCATTCTTGTACTGAGATGGCTCCAGCACACAGTTCCTGCAAGATTAAAAGTAAGATTTAGGTACCCAAGCAATGTTGGGTCCTGGGGGGTAATGCAGTCTTGGTAGTTGGTACCATTTTGGTCTCATTAACTGAAACCTTGGTGGATGGTACCCATTGTCCACCTGGTAGTCGTAGTAAACAGATGTATGATTCACTTTGGGCAGATGCTTGTGAGGATCATGCTTTCTGTTTGCATACTTCTGCATAGCCTTCTTGGTGGGAAAGAAGTCCCATATGCTATCAAGATCAGAGGAGCGCTTAACTTTAGGCTTCTGAGGCTGACCAGACAACCTCTTCTGCCTATAGTTAATCTTCTCTTGATATCTGTCTCTCTGATAGCAGTTTCTAATACCGTTGCCATGAGATTGTCTGATAGGATTAGGCCTTTGATTATTATTTTTCTGAAAACTCTTCCTTTTGTTAGGGTTTCTGCCAGGTTCATTAGTTTTCAAACTTTGTTTTGGTTTGCCCTTTAGAGTTTGTTTCTCTGGTATGACCTTCTCATGAACAACTTTAGTACCAGAAGTACTAGCATGACAATTGGGGCTCAGAGTCTGTGGCACTATGACCTTTTTAGCCTTAGCAACTTTGGTGCTAGGCCTTACAGAAGGCTCACCAGACTCTGGTTCAACATATCCAAGACCAGAGGTGAAGTTATGAGAGTCACCAATATTCTTCATGGAAGATTGCATCTTCAGAAGACTATTATATCTACTCTCAAGTTCCTCAATGTCTCTTATTCTTTTCAGAAGAGACTCATTTTCAGCTTTCAGTCTATTTCTTTCCTCAGTTAAGAGATTAAGTTTACACTCAGTCTCTTTCCTTAGATCAGAGATATCAACTTTCAGCCTACTGTTCTCATCTTTAACAAAAGAATAAGAGGCTTGAATAGTTTGGAACTCTTCCCAA